AGCTCTGATCTGTACCAGTGTACATGCTCTGGTCTAGCCAGATTTGTAAGGTAGAATTGGGATCATGATAGTGGTGGTGGGGGGCAGAGGGAAGAAGAATAAAGAACTAGAGGAAAGTTGTATGTTTCATCATTGCTACACTGCACCGACTGGCTGGTCTCCTCCCCGCGACCCTTCTGTAAGGGGATTTCCAGTTGCCTACAGATGGATTTTGGGTCTCTACTCCACACTCCCTTACATTCACAATGATATGAATTTTTGTTCTTTGATGTCTCATACCTGATCCTGTTGACACCTCATGATCACACAGGCTGGTGTGCTTCTTCCACGTGTGCTTTGTTGCTTCTCAGTTAGATGGCCGACATCCATTTTCTAATGAGTGATTTTTAATGCTTTTTAAGGAAATAAAAAGATAGTCTCATTGAATTAGAAAGCAATGCACAATTTCTAAAATAGTCTTAATTTCATTTTTAAATGATAGCATATAATTATATACATACATAATTCTCTTGGATTTTACTTCATTTCAATTATACCAAGAAAATCATGTGGGATTCTTCAAAGACTTGGCTCAATATAATTAAATCAGAACATGAGCTACAGAAAAATTATAGGCAGCCTCTTTTACAATGTGTGATCTTAGAGCCTGATGAATTCCATCAAAATGATTCAAAATACAGCAAACATATTTATATTTTTAGAATGTTCATGTTGCATTGCTATGATTTTGTTGAATTCTTTCTCAAATTTTTCACAAATTAAAAATCATGTTGATTATGTCTGCGTGTGTACATTGTGTGCCCATATCTACTTACCTATCTCTGTTTACAAAAACAGCCTTGGTGGCATAGTGGTTATGCACTGGGCTGCTAACTATGAGGTCAGCAGTTTGAAACCACTAGTCACTCCATGGCTTTCTACTCCTGTAAAGAGTTACAGTGTTGGAAACTCCGGGCTGGGGCCATGCTACCCTACTCTATGGGGTCACGATGAGTCAGTATCAACTCAATGGCACTGAGTTTGGTGGGGTGTTCTGTTCGTTTGCTTTGTTTTTATCTCTTTGTATATTAAACAAATGTAACATTTGAAGATTGGTTATGTCTAGATGATGAGCCCCAGATCTCACCATCCACATGACTCTTGTGGATAAAGAATCTTGCTTTAACTTTTTCCTTTTTATTTGCAGGTAAGCTTTTGGGTAGTTAGAGAGATTCTTCATGCTCAAACGTTAAAAATTAGAGCAGAAGTTTTGAGCCACTATATTAAAACTGCTAAGGTAAGAAAAACTTTTGTTTTTATTTTTTATATCAACCATTCTGAAATGTGAATGTTTGCTTGTGACGTTTTACTTTCTCTTCATTCACAATGGGAAATAACTACTCATTCAAGTCAGTTTCTTAAGCCAGGTACCTGT